TTGAAAAGCTCATTTTTAATAATTCTTATGTACCCATTTAATCGTTTTCACTTCCTCTACAAGGATTCTATGCCAAACAGTTGATTAGATTAGTAATTTGGAAAAAATTTAGTCTTCATTTTTAGATGTCCGCGTGGCTATTGTTATCAAAAGTTAACTAGAGTAAGTTTTAAAATTTTCGATAAGTTCATTTTTAATCATTATTATGCATCAATCGAATCGTTTTCGCATTCTCTACAAGGATTCTAGGCCAAACCGTTGATTAGATTAGTAACTTGGAAGAAATTTAGAGTTTTCATTTTTACATGTCCGCGTGGTTATTGTTATCAACGGTTATCAAGAGTTAACTAGATTAGGGTTTAAAATTAGGGGTGTGCGAATAATTCGAACTTACAAATTATTCGTTCCGAATCGAATAATTTGAATTTTCGAAATTATATTTTTAGTTGATTAAAGTTGAATTATTTATGTAAGAGATTGATTTTTTTATGTACTAAAATGTTACAAGTTTAAAAAAAAATAAATTTTTTTATTAAAATTTATCAAAATTAATTTATCATTTCTTTTAACCTATAAGAATTATATCAAAAGAAGAAACAATAAATTTTTTAATTAAAATTTATCATTTCCTTCTAACCTTTAAAAAGTATAGCATCAAAAAAAAATTTTTTAATTAGAATTTATCAAAATTAATTCATCATTTCTTCCTAACCTATGATAAGTATATTGAAAAAAAAAATAAAATTTTGAACAAAACATGTACTTGAAAAGATAAAAATCCTTAAAACAACAACGACAATAATAATGGAAAGAAATGTAGTCCAAAAAAGCACAGACATCCCATATGTAATGATTTTTTAAGAGAAACAAACCAGACTCCAGTGATGCTGATGCCATCAATAAGTCCGAAGGATATCATAAAAAAAGTAGCGAACAGAGGAACCCACCAGCCAATAACATCAAACAGACCGCTGATTTTATCAGACTTCCGGTTGATAGCTTCAAACTTCATGAACCAGATGAAGGAGAGGATCAAGAACCACATAGCCATAGCCATCATCGAGTAGTAGATCAGGGTGAAGGTGACCAGACAAGGCAGGTCACGGGAAGTGTTCAATGTCGACCAAGACTGAGATGTCCTCGGTGAGCCGTCTGAGTTGCAGACTATGTCTTCGGTAGAGAACGGGAAGAACTGGAGGAGCCACCCGGCGCAGAAGAGCAAGGAGCACCAGTTGAGATTAAATAGAGCGCGGTCTGGGTAGGTTCCCGACTTCCAGTTGATCAAGTAGGTCAAGATTGACAGGATGTTGACCCCAGCGCAGATTGTCGACAACCAGAAGATGGTAACACGCATCTGAAGGTGCTCCTCGTCCGAGTAGAAGGGGTCGTGACAACCCATTCTGCAGCCCGGAAACTCTGCTATGGCATCGGTGGGGATCGATGATGGAACCATGTACTCAGGACACTCGCTCTCGTCGTTCCACTCGAAGCTCTCCAAAGGATCCACGCAGTCTTTGTCCCCGAAGATGTCATCGTTGTCGCAGGTGAGGAACTCTGGCCAAACATCGCTGCTCATCAACTCTTCGCAGTGATTTTCAACTTCGGTACACAAATAGCGACATCGTTTTTTAAGGCTTTGTTTATAAGATTCTAAAGGTGTTGATAGGTTGCAAGGGGAGGCTTGAACACTGAACACAACATTGGTTGGATCACTCGCCAGCATTCCGGGTAGAAACTCGCTGCGATTTCTAGATCTTTTAGTGTTTCCTAGAAGAATATATTATTTAATGATAAGTATTTAGGCTGCATTAGATACATAATTAAGAAATGACATTGTATCTTGTGAACTATTGACATTTTTAAAGATATAAGCTCATCCCGATGTTACACTCCTTAAGAGCTTTCATTTGAGTACCCACATCAATTTTTCATATATTTTATAAATTTATATATATTATATATATGTATATATGAAAAATATATCAAAAATTGATGTGGGTACTCAAATGAAAGCTCTTGATAAGTGTAACATCAAGATGAGCTTATATTTTTAAAAACGTCAATATTTAAAAAAGTACAGTGCAATTTAACAAAATTCATTATTTAATAAAGCAAAATTTTGTTTATTTATAGTTCACAAATTATGGCACTCACATATTGACTGAAAAATTGCTAGTTTTAATTAATTAATTACATTTTTAGATAAAAAATTTTTGTTTTTTAATTGAGAAAATAAAATTGACTTTAAAAATAAAAAATAAAAATTTTTAAAATTCATTTACCTCTGTATCTTCAACATCTTCGAATTGTTCTTGAATTAACCTATCCGAAAATGAAGAGTATGGTAAAGTATTACCCAAACATTGAACACCTTCGGGTCTATGATGGCACTTTAATTGTGAAGTAACATAAGAAACATGTTTTCCATCATCTTCAACTACTACTAAGTCATTTGAGTATCCGTACTCAGTGTTATTGAGGAAGAGGGCTAACAGTAGGAACTTCATCTGAAAAAAAAAATTTTAATAAATAAATAAACAAGCTAAAGTTATTTCTTCTTTAATTACTTTTGAAAAAAATTTTTAGTAAGTACAAATATTTATTATAATGATTCATTGTAGACAGCATTAATGGAATTTTAATGAGTCAGGCTTTTGAAATAATTACAAAAGGTTCTTTAGGAATAAGCTTATTGTACCTTAAGTATTTTTAAATGAGGAAAATTAAAATTTTTTATCTAACAAATAAATTAAGTGGAAGATAACAAAAAATATTTTAATTAGTTATTTTTAATAAATTATTAAAAATTAAATTTATTTTATTTTTAATAACAATTTTTATTATTTAATAAAAATTTTAAGAAATAATTAAAAAAATTATAATACTAAAGTCAGCTGACATTTTTGATTTTTTTTAATAATTAAATTAGAATAAAAAAAATTGCACTTACAATTTTTCAATTTTTTTTTATTTTTTTCAATAAAAAAAATTATAAAAATTTCATTACATAAATAATTTTTGAAAAACAAAATAAATTATTCTTTATTTTTATTCTTTATAATTAATCCTTATACTTAATTAAGTATAAATAATAAAAATAAATAATTTTTTTTTAAATAATTAATGTAAAAATAAAATTAATTAATAATAATAATTAATTTATTTAAAATATTTACCTGTCAAAAGTCAGCCTACTCAGCCAAGCTTTAGAACTAAAAGCGTCGGAAATAAAAATCAGCGTGGTACACTACGTGTCGAATTTTCACAAACTACCTCAAAGTTAATATTGCAAGACCCAAGACCATGGCCAAGGTCAACACAGCACAAACACTTCCCCCTTTTTCCATTTCCATTCATAATTTGTTATAAAAGCCCACACTGTAGTAATTTTTCTACTTACCTGTCTCCGATTCAAACACCCCCATTTTGTTTTTGCATATTGTAGTATGTGTCAAGGCCGCGGCGCTGCAGTCGCTTTTTATTTTAACGGTATTTTTGATCAGTTCTGATCAAAATAAATAAATTAACCTATGTACTAGCTTTCAATTTTTATTTATTATTGTATATTTTTTTAGAAAATAATTTTAGTAATTTAAAATTATTCATTTTTTATTTAATATTAACACTTTGAATAATAAATGATTAATTATTTACAACAATTATTTGAATCCGTCAATTTTTGTACAAATTAAAAAACATTTTTTTAATTTAATTTTACCCGATAAAATTTAACAATTTTGGAAGCGCTTTTTTTAGGTAAGATTATTAATTATAATTTTTTTTTATAAAAATAAAATCAGCTGACACTTGACAAATTATTTTTTAATTGACAAAAATTAAATCACTGACTAAGTTTTTATCAACTATTTAAGGTAGTACTACCGGTTTTAGAATTGACGTTCAGAATTTAATGAAATTTAGCATATTGGTACTTTATAATATCACAATTAAGCCGTAAAATTTTTGGAAGCTCAACAAGTCCGGAAAAAAAGATATTAATATCTACATATTTTTGCTTTTACCATTGATCCTTATGGAGAATCATAGACTTTATTTTATTTCACAAAACTGGACGTTCAGATTCTTATAAAAATCAACTTAATGAGAAAAAATAAAATCTAGAACATATTTAATAACAATCAGTATGGTTTCCAAGAATATGAGAATATTTATTAATAAAAAACATTCAAAATTTATCTCTGTCTCTCTTTCTCCAATGTGATTTAGTATAGGGAAATCTACTACGTTAATTACATAACGTTAGGTTTTGGGATTTGACTCTTGTGGTAACGGTAGTACTACCTTAAATAATTTCCTAACAATCTATTTTTAAAAATAAATTTTTTACAGGTAGTTAATCTAAATTTAACTACTATCGACAATTAATTATTTGTACAATTTAATGTAACTATATATTAAATCTATTTCTCAGAGGTAACATTTCCTGACCTTCCGTTCCGTCGTCAGGACTTCCTTCTTTTTTTGATTTTCTTCTAAATATTCTGAAAAAAAAAAATAAAAATTTAATAATTCATAATAATAAATAAATAAATAAATAAATAAAAAAGAAAAAAAAATTTACCGCCGGAAGAAACTTATCCACAAATTAAGCGAGCGCTTCTCACAAACAAACAGCGACATAAAAATACCCGCGAAAAAATGTGTCAAAATTTGCAAATGGAGTTTGATAACATCTGGGCTGGATTTTAATTTACACTTGGACTCCATTTTGAGATTACTTCTTATCAACTCTGTCATTCTGTTTAAAACTGAGCATCTAAAATCAACAAACTTGTAAGTATAGCTAATAATTTAAGAGATTATTAATTATTTATACATAAAAAGTATATTTACGTACATGATATAATTTTTAAAGTCCTCAATGTGTTCCGGCGATTTTATTCCTTCCCATAGATGGCAAATAAATGCTACAATAATTGTCAGTAATACGGGAAGCGACAAATATAATATTCTTGTAATTGGCATACGATTGGACTTTTTCTCTTCTGTTGGAGTTTTCACACTCCACTTAGAGTCTGAAAATTATGACAGTTAATAAAATTAATAAACAAAAATCATTTTAGATTTTTATAAAAGAAAAATTCTACAATTAAAAATTTTTAACATTTTTTTAAAAATTAATAATAGCAGACATTTGATAATTTTTTATTTTTTCAATAAAAACTAACAATCTTGTGAACTATAAATAAATAAAATTTTGGTTTATTAAATAATGAATTTTGTTAAATTGCACTGTACTTTTTTAATTATTGACATTTTTAAAGATATAAGCTCATCCCGATGTTACACTAATCAAGAGCTTTCATTTGAGTACCCACATACATTTTTGATATATTTTTCATATATACATATACGGGATGAGCTTATATCTTTAAAAATGTCAATATTTCACAAGATACAAGGTAATTTCTTAATTATTGACATTTTTTAAGATATAAACTCATTCTGATGTTACACACATTAAGACCTTTCATTTGAGTATCCACATGGCATTTTTTATATATTTTATATATATATATGATATATATAAAATATATAAATATATAAAATATATGAAAAATTGATGTGGGTACTCAAATGAAAGGTCTCGATAAGTGTAACATCAAGATGAGTTTATATCTATAAAAATGTCAATAGTTCACAAGATACAAGGTCATTTCTTAATTATGTATCTAGAAATACAGCATTGCTATTTTCATAAAAAATTCAAATATTTATAATAAAAAAATAAAATAAAAAAAGCCAAACCTGTAATAATATACACTGCTACTGCAAAAACAATTATAAACAGCGGAATAGAGACATAAAGATGAACCAAATAAAAATCTTGATATCCAATAAAGCAAATCCCAGTTATACTATTTGCATCAATAATCTTCAAGAACTTAACAATCATAAACGTAGAAAAAGCGGGAATCCCCCAAGCAGTAAGATGGAACAAGAGAGACTTGATATCATACTTTTTCTGCGCAGTCTCGTCGAACCTCATGAACCAGATAAACACGAGGATTCCGAACCAGATCATAGCAGCTAGAAGAGAGAAATAAATTAAAATAAACACCGCAATGCAAGCTGAACTGTCTCCAGCAGGCTCAGCAATTCTTGGAGTGTTATCCGGGCGGCAGACAATGGCTTCCCTGATGCCAGTGAATTGGAGCAGCCACCCGATGCAAGAAGCCAAGAAGCAGAAGTTGATGTAGAAGATAGCCCGGTCAGAATGGCTTCCAGCTGTCCAGTTGATCAGGAAGGTCAAGATAGCTGCTAAGTTGAAGCAAGAGCAGATGATGGCTGACCATAAGATCAGCTGGTGGGTCTTTTTATGTTCAGATTCGCTGAAGAGAGCGTTCTTACAAGGAAACCCGCAGCCTTCTAGTCCCTCTACTGTCACGCGGGCGTCGTTGGTCCGCACTAGCGGTGCTAAGCAGGAACTTGAAGAGTCAAAGTCTACTGGCAAGTGCGGCTGGTTGTCCAGCTGAGGAAAGAGATCCCTGTTGCTGCAGTTTATAAACTCGGGCCAGATGAGTTCGTCGAAGACGATCCTGCAAGGCTCTTCTATCCTCTGGCACATTTCTTGTGATGGAAACACCACGTGGCTGTTCAGGCACTGAGGACGGAAGATCATGCAGAGTAATGGTTGGACTACTTTCCAGCATTGAGGAATGTATTGCAAGGATGCTTGAAGCTCGTGCAATTTTGCCTGGAAGACAAAAGTTAGTTTTAATTAATTAATTTTTTAAATTGCACTGTACTTTCTTAAATATTGATGGTTTTGAAAATATAAGCTCATCCTGAGGTTTTATACTCTTCAAGAGCTTTCATTTGAGTACCCACATGCATTTTTGATATATTTATCATATATACATATATATTTAATATATATAAATATATGAAAAATTGATGTGAATACTCAAATGAAAGGTCTTGATAAGTGTAACATCAGGATGAGCTTATATCTTTAAAAATGTCAATATTTCACAATAAGATACAATGTTATATTTTTTAATTATGTATCTAGAGATAAAGATTATCATAAATTGACTATTTTTAATTCATTAAAAATTATTTTTTTAATAAATTTCAGTCATAAAAAATTAAATAAAATTTTTGTAGATCAAAAATATTAATTACCTGAATTTCATCCTCTGTTTTATAGTATCTTTCGACAATCCCATTGCTGCTCATGGAATACGGCAAGGTAACAGTCAAACAGTCAGGAGTTTTCATCTGGACACATTCCACGGGTCTTACGCTGTCCTTCGTTTTCAAAATTTCACCAACATCGTCGGTAGTCACTTTAGTTATTGCTATAATTAGTACAATCCAGACAACCTAAATAATATAATAGGTAAAAATATTATTTTATTAACAATTATTATTTGTAATAATTTATAATTGATATTTTACTTTGCAATAGTGAAAATCCATGCTTTTGGAGTCGCAAACAGTCAACAAGTGTTTTTACCAGCCAACAGCACTATACTGACTTGTACAAGAGTATTAAGGTAGTACCCTCGCCAGAGGCGTTTCCTTAGGAATTTTTTTAAATTTTGGCAGATTAATATTTATATAATTCTGCATCGATTGACGCAAATTGAAATTTTTTGACCATCTAGTTTCAGAGATATTTAATTTCAAAGTTCGAATTTTTAGAGGAGGTTATGCACTGTGATATACGGGATACCGAAAATTTTACTCGTATATTTTATTATAACTAAGAAACTTTTTTTTAAATTTTCATAAAAAACTAAACTACTATTAAAAAACAGCTATTATTTGTTTTTTTAAAACTTTCATTGATTTTTACCATCAAGATTTTTAAATATTATTAAAAAATAACTGTATTATTCAAAAATAACCATGAGTAGAAACGAGTAAGGAATAGCAAGTGAGAAAGACAAAAATATCCTAAACTATACCTAAATTTACTCGCAATATATGTCGCGAGGGTACACTACCTTAAGTGCTCAAAAGTATACTGTGTATATACGTTCTGTGTGTAGAAGTTAATTTTGGGATTATAGAAGGACTATAGCAATTTGTTGGGTTTTAAGAAATGGTGAGTATTGAAAAATGTATACTTAAGTTATTATACTTAATCTTTTGTGGTATGTTTGGATTTTTATTATTTTAAAAATTTTTTTTGAAAAGCAAATTCGTTCAAAAAAATTATTTTTAAAAATTGTAATCTTAATTTTTTTTTAATTAAATTTTCAAATTATTGTTTATTAATACCTACAAAAAAATATTTATTAATATTATATTTTTACAAATTTATAATAATTAAAAATTTACATAAGAATTATTACTAAAAATATTCTTAAATACAAAAAAATATTTTTAATTAATATTATATTTTTACAAATTTATAATAATTAAAAATTTACGTGAGAATTATTACAAAAAAAAAAATTAATTACTGAAAGTCGCAATCCAAATTTACACAAACACTTAATTAATTAAAATATTACTATCAAAATTAACATATAATTATCAAATCTTATCAATTAACATTTAATTATTAAACTAAGTCTACTTAATTAAAAAAAGGAACATTTCGGTATTACCGTGTGCACGTAATTACAAAAAACATCGCGGATTATCGGATGATGTTGTTCAGGAACTCATTGCGAAGTTGAGGTTCCTCTTGATGAATTTATCGAATGCGTTGCACGAATACGTCCCTCGTCATGATTCCTCTAGCGTATAAATCCACAGTTTGATTAAATTGATTGAATACGTGTGTTCTCTGAGCTCCTAGGCGCACTCTTAGTCTGTTTATAAAGTCGTTAATTTGTTCTGGAGTTACAATGTCATTACAAATTGAATGGTTTGATCCACAAGCTCCAACACACCCTCACTTCGTATCGTCGAGCGTCATCGTGTTCAAAAATAATACATTTAATTATTATGAAAATATAACACTTTTTATCTTTACAACTGGAAAATTTTTACTTTATATTGAAATATATTTATTTAGTAACTAAACTACAAGTATAACTATTCTTTAGCACTGGCCCGGATGGTCTGCAGAAATTTGAACATTAATGGTGAAAAATCGAATGTGAAGACGATATTTATACCTTTTCGGAATGTTTTGATCTTTTGTTACATTTCAAAGAACTGAATTTATCTGTGAATGTACTGGATGTGTGCATTTTATTGTATGAAATTTGGAATTCTAATCCTTGATACTAATTAGGTACTTAAGCAGTAACGATATTATTATTTATATATTCTTTTTCCCACTTTAACGCATGTGTAATTTTTTTATTTTTTTTATGAAAAAAATAAAAAATGCGCATTTTTGTCTTATTAAAGTAGTATACTGAGAGAAAATTTTATTTAATAGTAAAATAAAAAAGTTTATTTGGACTTGAAAAGAAAACTTAGTTAATAGTAATAAAATTATATTCCCTATGAATAAAATTTTATTAGTATTTAATAAAATTTTATTACTATTGAATAAAATTTTCTCTCAGTATACCTCTACTACAATCCAGATAAAAAATTTTGGCTCACTATCCATGTTATACGTATCGACAGAGCTAAGGTTGTAGGTTAAGATTTTTTATTCTCTATATACAGTAGTAGACGTTGCACGCGCAAGCGCGCGTATGAATTTAGTATGGAATTATCTATATTTTCATGCTCATGATATATTTGACTAATCACGTTACGAATAGTTTGCTCTTACATACATGATATATTTTCATATTTTTCATCTAAATTATAAGAGTGGATATAAAAAAAAAAATTCTTTTGTTTAATCAAGAAAATTTTTGACTTCTTACCACTTAAAAAATTAATAACTTATTACAAAACTACAATAAAAAAATGTTATTTTTTTTTTTTTTAGGAAAAAAATCTAGGATGAATATAAATTAATTTGTACATAAATTAATCAGCGAACAACATTCAATGGTATAGCCATATTCCGAGGTAACCTCGTAGCAATTAATTCAGCAATATTCTTGCTGACTTCATGCCAGACGTACTTTCCCATGATAGGAACTTCTTCAAGAGCTGGACGGAATGATACTAGTATTGTAAAGCAAACACCGTCGCCTGGTTGTTCTCCGCTGTATTCTACTGATAATAATCCGTGAGGTCTGTGTTGAGCTACATTGTCTCCAAAAATTTCCTTTTTAAAGAAAAATTTTTATGAATTAATTAATTATACTATTTAAAAAATTAATTAATTACTATAAAAAAAAAAAATTAGATATTTACCACCATAAATTTATGTAAAGTTGAGTGTAAATTCTTACTGGGATTAATTTCACAAATTGGTAAATGTAAATAATTTTTTTCCGATATCAAAACATGCATCCGGTTGCTAAAAAAAATTATTTAAGTAAAATTTTCAATTTTACTTGATTTTTAATTATTGAAATAATTAAAAAAATAAAAACTTACGTAGCTTTTCTTTTTATACAGACAATAAGCCGTATGAAAAGTTTGCTCCAAGATTTTTCAACCGGCAGCAGAGGTAAATGCCAAGGTGGATTGCCTCCACTCTTGTGATCCCTCGCGCGCTGGATCAGAGGCAAGATATCAGTCGACCTAAGCGATAAATCATCAACATTGCTAACCCATGAAGCTTGCAAGGACTCCTGGTCAGCTTGGTCGGGTGTCTTGAGCACTCCGCCGGTTACATCACCGAGCATGACGAACCTGAACCAAGAACCGCTGGCACACTCGACCATCAGCAACGATTTGGGCTCCATCGTCAACCCGGTTTCTTCCAGTACTTCCCGCTTCACTGCTGCTATCAGCGACTCATTCGGCTGGACTCTTCCAGCAGGTAAGTACCATTTTCCGGCACAAGATGCCTTTGCTTCTTGAATCATTAGTACTTGGTCTTTGTCGTTTATTATTACGGCTGCTACTATGTAGGTGACTGTTTTTTGACATATTGGAAGATAGTTGGAGGTTGATGTTGGTTTTATTCCTTTTGTTTCTAAAATCCCCGGATTTATTTATTAATTATTGAAATTAATATTAAATTTTTGCTTTATTAAATAATAACTCTTGTTAAATTGCTCTGTAATTTCTTAAATATTGACATTTTTAAAGATATAAGCTCATACTGATGTTACACTCATCAAGAGCTTTCATTTGAGTACCCACATCAATTTTTGATATATTTTTCATATATACATATATATATAATATATATAAATATATAAAATATATGAAAAATTGATGTGGGTATTCAAATGAAAGGTCTTGATGAGTGTAACATCAAAATGAGCTTATATCTTTAAAAATGTCAATATTTCACAAGATAAAATCACTTTTTTCCTAGGACCAATAAAAAATCCACAATTTCAAAATTAAAAAAAATAGCTACCAATAATTTCATTCTGTTGTCCCAGAGGATAATCACAAATTTCTTCTCCATCATCCAATTTAAATCCTCCTAAAACCCGTCGTATATTTTCTTCAATACTATCCGGCATTTTTTAACAACTTTATTCTCACTGTCAAAACAACAAATCATTTAAATAAAAATAAATCACTGAACAATAACAGAGCTGACATTAGCTCGGTAACTCTGACAGGTGTCTGATAATATTGTTAGCAAAATCGTAGTTATATTACTTCACATTCCTTTCGGCTTTTCCTACTTAAAATTCAACGAGCGCACACATTGATGAATTTATTTACAATGCGTACGTACAGTTATAGTTAGCTATACAGGTGTGCTCTGAGTTTCTTTCATGCCTTTTTCTCTCAACTTGATTTGATAGTTTGTTGCATTCTAGGTCATCACTACTTTTATACCTTAGATATATTACATTTACGAGATCTAACTACATCTTTCACATCTACTAGCTGTATCATGTGCTATGTACGCGATCCGTAACGATACTTTCTTTAATTTTTTTAATTTTTACAATTTATAAGCGGGAAAAATTTAATTTTACCAAATAATATTTATTTTTATCACAAATTATTATTAAAAAAATTTTAATTATAAGAATCTTTAATTTTATCTAAAAAAAATTATTTAATTAATTATTTTCAAATATTAATATAAAAATTATTATTTAATATATTATATTAAATGGTTATTGAAAGTTATTAATTATTAAATAATAATAATAAACGCTCTCTAATTAGATAAAAAAATTAGAGCGTTACAATATTAGTTTCATCTTTACTTTTTACAATTTTAATTATTTATGATACAATATATTAATACTAATTAAAAATTAAAAAATTTTCTAATCTTACAGATTAAAATTATAATAATTAAGGAAATCCAAGTACTCTTCTAGTGTAGATCTCTTTATCACTTTTTGAAATAAATTATTTTTAAATTTCCCGCGCTTGGTATTACAAGCCTCCATTTTGTGGCGCGGGAATTACAGCCGCCATTTTGTCGAATACCGTTGACAATCTCTTTTTTTTATGATTTCTAATGAATTAGACTTTTATAAAACAATTTCATGCTATAAAAACTTGAATAATTATTTTTTGAGTCGATTTTAACAAGTAAAAAATTTTTTTTTATAAAAGAAAATTTAAATTGATTACTAGTTTTAAAAATTCGACTCCTTAATTAATAAAAATCAAGTTAGCCGATATTCTTTATTTTACTTATTAAATTATAACTAAAAAATATCTTTTTATAAATTGTTTTTACGGTTTTTCAAATTTCTTAAAAAACTTTTTTTTAATAAAAAAAATTTTATAAATGTTTAAATGTCGGCTCTTATGATCAATTAAATTTTTTTTTGATTTTTTACATTAATTAATTTTTAAAAATTAATTCAAATATTTTCACACTCTTTTCTTCGCTCCCAAACAATCATCAATCGTTCAATGAGATCATTAGCATAAATCGGATACTCGCATTTAAACTCCTTAGACTTGACTTCTTCCATAACCTCACTGTTAACAAACTCCCCAAAACTAAGGTTAGAAATTAAAACAGTATAAACACACAAATCTTGATTAACCAAAAAAAAATCTTTCTTCATCTTAGAAACTTCTTCTCTGCATTTATTCCTATAAAATACAATTTTATCAATCATCGAAATGGCTTTTTCATTTCCCTCAGATAACTTCAGAGCCTTCATACTCTCAAGCTTAACAATATAACGGATAAAGATCTTAACAACTTCATTAATATTAAACTTGAACTCGTACAAATCGTACATTTTCTCCTTAGAAACTCTATTTAAATATTTCTCGCTTAAAATTACATCAAAAAGCCAGCAGTTTTCTTCAAAATTGACATTAAAATCCGGCCGATAATTTTCTAGGATCATTTTTATAAAAATAGTGTCCCTATATCTGACCGCGTCGACAAGAAGATTCTTCTTTCCGCCATATTTAACATTAACACTAGCGCCGTGCCTAAGCAGGAGCTCAAAAATTTCCCGCGCATTTTCAAACAACCGATCGTTGATAAAACAGCGGCGCTTCATCACTCCGCTGACGATTTCTGCAGAAAAAGGCAAAGATTGGCTCTCAATTTTCAATCTTTGATAAGCTTCTTTCTCTTTTTCAAGCAAATAGAGACTTTTATAAGCAATAGCGAGCGGAGGGTTCGCAGATTCGCGAACTTTAGGGTTCACATCTGCGCCATTTTGGATCAGAAGCCTGACAATCGTCAAGTTTTGATTTTTCACTGCTATTTGCAATGGCGTCGGGTTGTCTAAATCTTCGGAACTGTTTACATCTGGGTTTTTTAACAAAATTAGTTCTGTTAATGCAGAATAATTTTTTCTGACCAATGCGCGGAGAAATTCGTACCCATTGTCACTTCGCCATTGCGGGTGAGAGGTTATGATCGATGAAACTATTTTTTTGAGCAAGTCCGTCTGCGATTTTTCAACTGCTTCTATCAAGTTTACTTTTAGGTAAAATGAACTCGACATTATGTCCCTGAAAAATTAATATTTTTAGATTTTTTTAGTTAATTGGCTATCCAATCTAATTAAATAATTTTTTTTTATTTGTTTTTTTAATATTGTTAACTTATATAGACAATTTTTTCACAATTAATATCTAAATTTGTCATTAAAAATAAATTTAACAAAAAATAATTAAGACGGCCCAAACCAGGATTCGAACCTGGATCTTTTGGTTAAGTCTTTAGGATTCCTAAAATAAAAATACATGAGAGTGTGAAGTTAGTTAATAGTCGAAACTTGTAAAAACATGGGATTTGATTCCTTATTGGTCGAAATTAAGGCGAAGCGCGCTATTTAAATTTCTAGTGAAATAAATATTAAAAATGTATTAGGAGGTTAAAAAAAAAAGAAAAAAAAAACATGTGGATCAAAATTAACACATTTAAATATGAATTGTGGAAAAATTGTCTATGAAGGAAAATATAGGCTAACAATATTAGAAAAAAATTGTTTATTAACTAGAAAAATTTTTAAGTATTATAATAAGTCTTTAGGAAGAAATAAATATTTTTATTATTATTTAAAAAAATATTTTTTTTTTTACCTGTTATTTTGTCGCGTCGGAGTCATTACTGCCAAGCGTGATATGTTTTATCTATTCGAAAGTTAAATCAGAAAACAATGCCTTAATTTTCAGATAAGTTATCCTTATCTAAAAAATTTCAGTGGGGAGAAAACTAGTTATTTCTAAACTCAACTTAAAAATTCAACGTAATATAAAAAAATTATTTAAATTATATTTCTGATTTTTATTGCGCAACTTTAAGCGTCAACTATGTCCAAATTATAATTGAACTGAATGAGGATCACTAAATATGTGATCACTGAAGCGGTGATCTGAAAATAATTTTATTAATTATTTACATACTATTTTAATAATAAAAATTTGAAGTCCTTACGGCTGTAACAAGACCACCATTGATTTTAAAAAGTCCAAAAATGGAGTCCGGTATTTTTCTGTGCAAAACTTCAATTGAAAATTGTTTCAACTGAAAAAAAAAAAAACAATTCTAAGGTATAAAAGAAGCTATAAAAAATTATTAAAAGTAATTACCTGAGATTGTATTCCTCCGTGGGTTGAGTAAGCATCCATAACCTCGAAAATAACCTCTCCAGTTTTCTTTGTCTGAAAACAAACAAAACATAACCTCAATTGAAACAAAGAAACTGATCTTTAGGTCAAAATTTCTCAAAGAAAAAATTAATTTTGCAAGATTTAGGATTAGAAATAGCAAGATACTGACCTCACTAGTGATCTGAGTCATCTGATTTGTAAAAATGACGATGATGAATATTTCCTTGACCATAGTCGCAGGTTCGCAGATAAAAGATATCAGAGGAATTTTGTGGCTGAAGAAAATGACTCTCTTAGCAAACTTATAAGAGTAAAGAATGAGCCTGATGCAGAAAATAATTATTGTCAGCAAAATAGGCCATTCAAAAAAGTCGGATAAGTCTTTGAAGATGACAAGAAGCTTCCTCTGGTGCTGTTTTAGCAAAATAATAGTCCTGAGGATGAGTTCATTGTGCGTAGCACTCTTGACAAAGATCAAATCGCTGCAATTATCATTTTTGATCAATGATAAAAGCAATTCGTTGGTAAAATTGAGCCTTTTGTTGATAAAGTGCACCAGAATGGTGTGCTGCAGCATGAAAATGTTGATGATGAACCCAGAGGTGACCATTACAACCGCCCACCAGTCATCAGAAGCCACAGCTTCGAAAATAAAAGGTATCACTTGGAGAATCATCAAGACTACTTCTGAAATAAATGATGCGATTTCGTAGTTTCTGCTCTCGCGACGAGAAACTGATCTGTTGAATTGGTTAACTAAATCCTGCTCAAGATCCAGAAGGTCGTTTAGGATTCTGATGATCTTCTGGTGGTTGAAGCAGTAGTACCACAAAATAACAGTCGAAATCCATGATAAGTTGATTGTTACCAACTTTCTGAGCACTAATTTTGGTGTAATTGTGCTGAAGTTCATCACTATTCTTACTAACAAAGCTACGCAGGGAATTGATAGCAGAAAAGTGTAAATTCTGTTTTGGGTTGAAGAGCGCAGAAAAATTTGTGGCACAGATTTGGAAAACACTACTTCAAAGGGCGCAAGGCCGAAAATTTTGAAGAATGTTACTATGAAGCTAATTGAAGATTCTTTTGAGTTTAAAAAGTTGAGGTTCTTCATTTTGCGGAAAAGCTATGTGCTTTTTTGAAGTGCTGGTGGATTACTGATTGGTTTTTTTTTTAATTTGGTTTTATGGAGGGGTAACTTCTAGGTCATTGTAAAACACTATAATTACTAGATTAATTTTTAATAAATTCTTGACGGTCTACGCCCTGTCTGTTATCTGTTTGGAGCAGGATAATTATATAGGTGAGCATCATACTGAACACCTGAAAGTTTATTTTTAATTTAATATTCATTATGTATTCTTTTTTAAAATTTATGACCCAAAAATTGATACTTACGGAAGTAAGCCGACTATTGTCCAAAGGAACCATTTCAAAGGCGGTGAAGGAGACGTTTTGGTGAAATAGTTCCATGGAAAATTGTTCCAGCTGGAATTGATTGGGGTTATAAAATTTTGTTGAGTGAAAAATTTGGAAAAACAAACTTACCTCGTAGGATATTCCGGTGTGTTTGACGTACACTGAAGCTAATTGGTAAATTATCTTGCTTGTTCTTTTTATCTGCAATTTTAATAATAATTTCTTAAAAAGTATTTTAAATAAATATTTTTGCAGCCAGCAATACAAAAATACTTTAATTAAGAAAAATTGGTCAATAATTTAAATATGACCTTGTATCTTGAGAACTATTGATATTTTTGAAGATATAAGCTCATCTCGATGTTACACTCGTCAAGACCTTTCATTTGAATACCTACATCAATTTTTCATATATTTTATATGTTTATATATATATATATATATATATATGAAAAATATATCAGAAATGCATGTGGGTACTCAAATGAAAGCTCTTGATGAGTATAACATCAAGATGAGCTTATATTTTTAAAATATACATATATATATGTATGTATGAAAAATATATCAGAAATGCATGTGGGTACTCAAATGAAAGCTCTTGATGAGTATAACACCAAAATGAGTTTATATCTTAAAAAAATCAATTACTAAAAAAGTACAGTGCAATTTAACAACTCACCTCTTCTAAAACAGCCGTCACAGAATTAGCCAGAACAATAGTAGGATAAATGCACATTATAAAAAGCAGCCCATGATCAATGCAATCAGGAATCTTCCCTCCAGTTTTATCACCTAAATAATCTCCAATAGAAGACACAAAGAGGTACCCAACATAAACAGCGCCCAAGAAGTAGTACACTAAAGAAACCAACATAGGAATAGAGTAGAATTGTGCTATACTGTTGCTAATTTCGCTCAAGTTGGAGTAAGACTTTCTAATAAAGATCACAAAATCTAAAACAGTTTCCTCCGACGGAGGATCAAAAATTGAAATAAAAGGATAGCACATTTGTCCGCTGCGGTTGGTTAATACAAGAAGCGACTCGTTCAAGCTGAAGTACTTCTTCTTGATGAAGATCAACAAAATCGAGTACTGGATCATCAAGTTTCTGATAGCGAATTTTGGAAGTACGTTTGCAACAGCTTGAAGAGTGTCTTGGACCATCAGCTTGTTGAACAGCAGCACCGAGCTGATTAGGAAATAAGCTGTGAAAATTGCTAGTTGATGGTGCTGGCCAGTGTGCAGCTGGTCCAGGTCCCTTAAATTCCTCACCAGCTCGCTTTCAAAAGACAGCACGCTGTTTAAAATCGCTGTTATTTCTCGGCGCTTGATGCTGAAGATTAAAATCAAGAAGACCTGGATGACGATCACGTTGATCCGGAAGAAGATGTCGAAGTGGTGCCGCAAGTGCGATTCTTCTTCCAAGTCTTCGATAAATTTTCCGTAGAGGTAGAATACTTCAAGGGGCAGCAAGATTAGCAGCCCGAGAGAGTTTATGAACAGTGCTGAGGAAGTTGAAGTAAATTCTATGGCAATTTCTTTCTTGTGATTCCGGTAGGTTGGATACTCTAGCACAGAAACTGGCGCAAGGCTGAAGAGCTTGTAGGTTGAAGATATTAAGCTCAGAAGCTGGATGTCTGATTTTGACAAGTTGTCTATTACCACCATTTTTAATAAATGCTTTGAAGCATTGGATGCAAGGAAAGATTCTTCTTGGTGGATTTGGTTGATAAAACACCCTTTGTTTGGAAAGTTATTTGACTGATTAATTATTTATCGCTGACGCTAATGCGATTAAATGTCAGGAAATAATGTCTGACGGGTTGATGACAGGAACTTAGTTTTGATGTTTATTGTCACGGTTATGACAGCTGCGGCGCTATGACTGGCATTTTTCTTCAATAGCTATTTTTTAGGAAGTGCTTTAGTGATTAATAAATAAATAAATAAACATTATTAATAATTTAGGTTCTAAAAGTGATATTGTAATTTTTTCGTTAAAAAAATAAAATCTTTAATGACATTCAAAAAGATTTTTTTTTTTAAATTGCATTTTTTTATTTTTTTAAATTTCTAGATGTCAATTTTTTTTATAATTTACCTATTTGTTAAAAAAATTATTAATTAAATTTCATTCTTTAATTACTTAACTTTAAAAAGAATAATACTAAAGTTAGCTCTGTCATTTTTTTTATTTTTACAACACATTAATTACAATTTAAAAAATTTTTTTAATTTTCAATTTTGAATTTATTAAATATTTTTTATAAGAATAAAATTATAAAAAAATTTATGTATAGGTATATATTTTTATATTTATTAAGAAACTAAAAAAAAACAGCTGTTGATTTAAAAAATTTCCCGCACCGCCGCCATTTTTCTCGCGCATGCGCAATAAGTAAACCTCAGCGCGCATGTCTGTATTTTTATCCAGACAGATGACTGTCATCTTGCAGTTTTTACTAAAAAAATTATCAACAAATAATTAATAATTCACCACGTGTTTTTTTTTATAATTAAACTAATTATATTTTTGTTGGAATAAAGTTATTTAATTATTTATTTATAAAAATGTCTGAAGAGCAAGATAAGGTAAGTTACTTTTTATTGACAAATTTTTTTATCATTCATCAGATATGTTTTTTTTTTTTGTTATGAAATATAATTGAAAGATAAAATTTTTTTTTATTAAAAAAATATCACATTTAATGTCATTAAAAATTTTAATTTTGTTTTTATTAAATAATTTTTTTTCCAGGTTCAAAAATTAAAAGAGGATGGAAACAATTGTGTCCGACAGCAAAAATATCCTGAAGCAATGTTTCATTACACTCATGCAATTAAAATAGATCCTAGCAATTACTCTTTGTACAGCAACCGGTCTTTTGTGTTTTTAAAAATGCAGCAGTATCATTTTGCAATGGAAGATGCAATGATGACCATAAAATTAAAGCCAGATTGGACTAAGGTAAATAATTTTATAATAAAAAATTAATTTAGTAAATATTTAATTATTTTAACAAATAAATTATTGCAAAAAAAAACATAACAAAATTAAAAAAAATAAAAAATACAATTTTTGTAAAAAAATTTGTTAAAAAAAATTAAAAAAAGATTGCTAACTTTAATCTCATTATTTTATAATAATAAAGGTAGCCATTTTTAATAAATTAAAACTAAAAAATATTTTTTTTTAATTGTACTTAAAGTTTTTTTACTTATAAAAATTTTTTTTAATAAAAAAAAAAAAAATTGCAGGGCTATTATCGCAAAGCAGAAGTTGAATTTCATACATTTAGATTCGGCGACGCGTTGCATTCTTACAGACAAGCATTATCTTTGCAACCAAACGATCCAGATATAATGGAAGCTATTAACAAAGCATCTAGATCATTAATCAAAGACCAAAGAGGTATTTTTTAACTCTATTACATTTATTTAAATTAAATTAAATTAATTAATTATTTATTATAACTAATATTAATTATTAATTTTATTTAATATTATTTATTAATAAATATTTTATTAAAATTAGCTGACCAACAAATTCCGTGGCTCGGAGCTGGAATCGGAATTATTTTAGGCGTAATAGTTGTCATAGCTGATTATGTGTTCACCAATAAGCCGACTTTGACCGTAAGAATTTATAAATTTTTTTTAAATGAATTATAAAATGATTAATTATAATATAAACTATAGCACCCGCTACTGATGGCGCTGCTGACGATATCAATAGCGATGATCGGGTTTGGAATCGCCAAAGGGTTCAGATACTTTGTTAAATGTCAGAGAAAATCTTTGCTAGAACCGCCGTTTGACTTGCTCGATGAGAATACCAAGCAAGATGATAAGAGCGAAGAGGCTGACAAGCAGAGCGACAAGCATCCAAAGTACAGCAAGGCGCAGGCGCGTCAGCGGTTCAAGAAAGGCAAAACGTAGTTTTTAAGCGATTTAAAAATATTAGAAAAATATTATGAAGCTGCTTGTGCACCTAGTAATTTTATTTAAGCACCTTTATACTTTTAAATACATTTTTTATTGATAGTGTGGTAAATTTTAAATAATAAACTTATTAATCATTTCTTCATTGCCGTTTTTAATTTTTTTTTAATTATTTTAAGATTAAGAAAAATTATTAATAATTTATTTTTTTTTATTTAAAAATTTAGAATTATGATATTATAACTAGCAACACTGTACTTTCTAAAATATTGACATTTTTATAGATATAAGCTCATCCCGATGTTAGATTCATCGAGAGCTTTTATTTGAGTACCCACATGCATTTTTTATATATTTTTCATATATACATATATATATATAATATATATTTAAAAAATATAAGCTCATCCCAATGCTATACTCATCAAGAGCTTTCGTATGAGTACCCACATGCATTTTTTTTATATTTGTCATATATACATATATATATAATGTATATAAATATATATAAAATATATGAAAAATTGACATTTTTTAAGATATAAATACACTGGCCACAAAATTTTGTTTATTTCTCTTAACATATTTTTTATTAAAAAAATTAAGAATTTTATTCTAATTACTAAATTAAAAAAAAAATCAAAAAAGGTTCTTACCTATAGCGCCACCTGTTTGCAAACTCTTGAACTACATTAACCTCCGCCATTTTGTCATCAAAAAGTAAACAAGTTCCAGTTTCTTATTTTTGTAACAATTAATGAAGAAAAATAAATAATAATAAATTATTTAAAACAATGGATCCAAAAAATCCTTACCAAATATACTTAAGTATGTTAGAAGAAATAGAAGAAGACAATTTAGCAATTATAAAACCTAAAATAACAGAATTAGCAATCTCACCACATTGGCATGACTTAAAACAGCAATTATTTTACAAGTCAGTGATTCACAGCAGCCATCAAATAATAGTCTTCATGCTAAAAATGTACCCAGAGGTTTTAAGCAACGACACGGTGTTCAATCTTCAGATCTTGAGACACGCTGTAAGAAATGAGAATCTTAACCTGGTAAAAGTGATGCTGCACAATAATTTTAAGCTGATGAACAATCCAGCTGACTTTGATATGTACGACTGCATTATTCAAGACGCGTTCAGGAATTATTATCAAAAAGAGAAGCTTAATGATGAGAATTTCCGAGCAAAGAAGATGATAAAATTCCTGATAGAGTACCCGAGACACCAGTGCCATCTCTTTGGCATCCAGCTGTTCATCAACGAAGCTACCTTGGAGATAGACTTGACAATTTCCGAGGAAGACATCAACAAAATGTACGACCAGAAGACAGTCCTGGAGATCTATACTGACCGGATGAAGTTCATGGACTCCAAGCTGGTCTATCTGATGCAATTGTTCAGGAACATTGTTTACTGTCTTGTCAGGGAAATTTCCAGGCTCGAAATGTGCAAGTTCATTTGTTCTCCCGCTAATCAGCGAGTTATTTCTTCTTTTGGGGACTTGCTCTGGTTTGCGAAGAAATGTGAGATTGAAATTTTTAAAATGCGCGGGTATCGTGTTGTTGATTATGATAAAAAGGTTAGCGCTAAAGTTTCTGATCTTCTTGCTGAGTCTTTTGTTAAATATTCCTGCACGGAAAAAATTGTTGCAGTTCTTTTGACAAAAGAGTTTAGAACTAGATTTCCGATTTATTCTGGGACTATTCTGCGGTTAGTCAACGCTGCTGTTGATCAGAATAAAGTTAAGATGGCCGCAGGCCCGCCATTTTGATAACTTTGAAGTATATTTATAAGTTTGTACTTTAAGGTTAATAAATTATATATTTTCTAAATATAGTTTTTTATTCATTGCAAGTTAGATTAATTATTTAATTATTAAAAATTTATTTAAAAAAAAAAAATTTTTTTTTAAATTATATGCGAATAATATTCTAATAAAAAAAAATAGCAACTTTGCAGTCACTACGTGACTGCAGTGACTTGTGAAATATAAATAAATAAATAAAATTTTGCTATTAAATAATGACTTTAGTTAAATATTGCTCTGTACTTTCGTAAACAATGATGTTTTTATAAATATAAGCTCATTATGATGTTACACTCATCGAGAGCTTTCATTTGAGTACCCACATGCATTTTTGATATATTTTTCATATATACATATATATATAATATATATATATATAAATATATGAAATATATGAAAAATTGATGTGGGTATTCAAATGAAAGGTCTTGATGAGTTTAACATCAGGATGAGCTTATATATCTTTAAAAATATCAATAGTTCACAAGATATTTGTTAAAATGTGCGGTGCTTTGCTAATTATTGACGTTTTTAAAAATATAAACTCATCCTGATGTTTCATTCATCGAGAGCTTTCATTTGAGTACCCACATGACATTTTTCACATATTTTTCATATATACATATATATTATATATATAAATTAGGGGTGTGCGAATATCATTCGAATCGAATCGAATCGAATCGAATATTGATATTCGATTCGAAATTCGAACCGAATAATTCGAATTTTCGAATTAATCAACATTCGACGGATAATTCGAAAGAATTCGAATAATTCAAAACTTTTCGAATTATTCGTAATTTTTCGAATTTTTTCGAATTAATCGAATTGTTCGTCAAATTTCGAATAATTTCCTTGTAGAGAATGTGAAAGCGATTCGATTGATGCATAATAATGATTAGAAATGAACTTATCGAAAATTTTAAACCTTAGTCTAGTTAACTTTTGATAACTTTTGATAACAATAGTCACGCGGACATGTAAAAATGAAGACTCTTAATTTTTTCCAAGTTACTAATCTAATTAACTGTTTGGCCTAGAATCCTTGTAGAGAGTGTGAAAACGATTCGATTGATGCATAATAATGTTTAAAAATGAACTTATCGAAAATTTTAAACCTTAGTCTAGTTAACTTTTGATAACTTTTGATAACAATAGCCACGCGGACCTGTAAAAATGAAAACTCTAAATTTTTTATAAGTTACTAATCTAATCAACTGTTTGGCCTATAATCCTTGTAGAGAATGTGAAAACGATTCAATTTATTGGTACATAAGAATGATTAATAATGAACTTATCGACAATTTCAATTACGGGTGTGCGAATATCGTTCCAATCGAGTATTGATATTCGATTTGAAATTCGAATCGAATAATTCGAGTTTTTGAATTAATCGAAATTCGACGAATAATTCGAATTTTTTCGAATTATTCGTCGAATTTCGAATAATTTGAAAATTCAAATTATTCGATTCGAATTTTGAATCGAATATTAATATTCGATTCGAAACGAATAATTTGTAAGTTCGAATTATTCGCACACCCCTAATATAAATATATGAAATATATGAAAAATTGATGTTGGTACTCAAATGAAAGGTCTTGATGAGTCTAACACCAGGATGAGCTTATATCTTTAAAAATGTCAATAGTTTACAAGATACAAGGTCATTTCTTAACTATTGACATATTTTAAGATACAAAAATTAAGACCAAAATTGATAAAAAATTTGTTTCACAAACGATCCATAAAATTTACTATCATAATTATTGTTTTTTAATTTTGACAGTTCTTTTGTCTCAATTGACCTTGCACTTAAATACTTAATCTTTAATTATTGTCAACAAAATTTTGACAAAGCATAATGACGCTTACCTTCAAACCGGGAATTCCGCTATAGATAAACTAACGACGGGATTTTTCTAACAATCTTTTGTCTTTCGGAGTGAACAATAAAGTGAATCAAGTGAATAAAATTTCATTGTTTGCAATTGGAATAAAAAGACCGGGCTCCAAGAGTCCATCACAGTGCAAATTTGTTTTACCTTGCAAGCTACTTGGTGCGTTGAATAAAAGTTATTGAAGTTATGGCTAAGCTAACAATTCTTGCTACCTTAATGGTGTTTGCTGCGGTAAGTTTCTTTTTTTATTTAATTTACTAGTTTCTGTTTTTATTTAATTTATTTTTTGTTTAATTTTTATTAAATTTTTTATTTTGTTAATTTTTTTTGTAGATTTTTTCGCAAGCTTTCACGCAGCCAATTATTCAAAACGGTGGCTATGGAGGGTACCAAGGCTATAACGGCTATCAAAGATACGCCCCAAATGGTAAATATTTTTAATAACTTAAATTTTTATTAAATAAAAAATTCACAAGTGAATTTTTATAATATATTTTTTAGTAAAAAATTAATTTTTAATAATTTATTCACAGCTTCTTACAATATAAATGAATGGTAACAAAGAGCAGGTCACGGATCTATTGACGACTTCTACAGTATCGAAAACGAGCGTACTAACTCGAAATCTATCCTTTCTGGCCTTCCATTCTTTCGATTTCTCAGTATGATCACTAAAGCTGATAAAACTAAACAGGTCCAGTCGAGGCATACTGTCAGTTACTTCAAATAATAATTTGATAAAATAATTGTTAATTTAAGTATGAAATAATATTCAAAACAACTCAATAAATTTACTTACTTTTAAAATTAAATTTTATTAAATCATCCCTAAAGAAAAAATTCTTCTTTAAAAAATTTTCTGCATTCAATTTAATTAAAATAAATATTTTTAATTAAATAAAAAAGTTATCTTGATAAAAAAAAATTCTTAAACCGAGAAAATAATTTTTAATATCTAGAAAAAAAATTTTTCACTATATATAACGTTATTTAAAAAACTTTTTTTTATTTTATAAAAATTTAATCTGAATTAAAAAAAAGAAATCAAAATTAATTTATCAGATATTTGATAATTTTCTTGATAAATAAATTGTGGCGAAAAAAAAATTGACATATTGGAATTTTAATAAATTAAAATTCCAATTTTTGAAGAATAATTTTTAAAATGTGTTATTTTTTTATGAAACTTATTATGAGTTAATAAAAAAAAACAAAAATAATTATAAGTAATATGAATTTATTAATTATTAAAGTGAACATTTTTATAATA